TCTTTCGTTTGAGCATATCGTCTATCATCGCCTTTAACTGTGTCTGGTAGAACACAAGTAGTCGTCGAGGCGGAATCTAAGTAGGTCGGGTTGTTCCCGTATGTATCTCATGATGAGCCGCCTTGGTTTGGCCGTACGAACGATCGTCCCAATCAAAAATGTCCCTATACTCATGAATAAGATTACTTAGCTCTGTAGAGCTATCAGAGTCTAGCGAGGCTGGCACGTACCTCTAAACACATTTGTCTAACTGGTAAGTGTTGACCTCGATCTGTCCACGTGGCGCCTTCATAATAAAGGGAACTTCAATGCCACAAAAACGTATACTATTATGGTTAAAATCTACTAAACATTCAAACGTATGTAAAAAATCTGCTCCTAATATACATTGCCAAATGATATCTAGGCAAATAATAAATGTATGTTTAAATGCGATGCTATTAAACAAAAGCTCAAATTCTACTAGGCCTTTGTGTCGCAGGTTATTGCCATTAGCCGTTTTCAGACTAATTTTGGACTAGCTGCAATATCTAACCTTAGCTTGAAGTTTAAGAAAAGTTTCTAGCCTAGTAAGGGAGCGCCCAGCTCCGGAGTCAACTAAGCATAGCAACTTAGTATTTCCTATAATAGTGTTAATAACTGGGTAAGATATAGTGGAACCTATGTTCGCAATAAGCATATCAGTTAGAAAAATGCACTTACCGGTTTGTTCATCCTCACCTGGGGTGATCACATGAACACCGGGACTATATAGGGGTCGGTTCTGTCTGGCTCGCTGCTGCCTCCAGTTACCTCTTTGAGTGGGCGGTGGAGGGCCTCGCTAAGGTGAGGTTGGTTGTAGAGGACCAGTCCAGGCAGCAGCATTCTGTGGAGGACCATGCCAAGGTTGTGAGGGACCCTGCCACGGTTGAGGGAAGCCGTAGGAAGGATAGGTTGGCGGCGGAGGAGGGTCCATTTGCCATTGAGCAGTCTGGGTGCCAATTTCGCGGGTTTGGCACTGCTTCGTGGCGTAGACACCAACTGTCGGTGGAGGCCGGGGACCGAATACGTCGCGAGTCATCGATGGGACAGCTTCACGTAGGGGCACGGCAATAAAGGCCGCTTCCTCTTGCTGGGCATACTCCAGAGCCAACTTAATGGTGGTTGGTGTGGAATGAGCAAACTCGCGCCTAACCTCATCGCTAGCTACACCTTCTATAAAGATGTCTAGAATCTTTGTTTCCAGATTAGCGAAGCTGGAGTCTGGATAAGCTTTGCGAGCCAACACGCGGAGACGGCGTTGGTACTCGCCAACTGACCCTCCTGTCAGTTGTTTTCTACCTGTTAGGGTCTTTCGAGTGTTCCATGGCGTAGATGGTACGCCATACTCTCGTCTAAGGCGCTCAAAGATGGTGACCGTTGTTAATGAGGACGTGATTTTACAGGCCATCGCTACGATCAGCACCTGGTCGTCGACGCATTCGAGGACGGCCGTGGATCGGCTTCCTTCATCAATTGTCTCAATGGAGGTCTTCATTCGGCTCTCCCAAAGATCGTAGTCGTCTGAGGGGGCGAAACTATTTGGCCGCGTGGTCCTTGACGCAGGAGGAGTCACCTTCTCCATTGCCGTTACTAGACGAGCTAGTAGAACGTCGGCGTTCATATCTCACCGTATGCCACCAACATGCAGCGAACCGAGGTGATCAACGGGTGACTGCGAGCGACTATAACCCGAAAGAGAACAACGAAC